TCCTTTATTAGGCCAGATTTGGCTTCATGAAAGTGGTCAGCTATCCAATTGCACCTGGCCCAGCACTACAAGCTAACAAACACACTGAAATGGTTTTATCATCCTAAGGCCTCACAGCAAGTATGCTTTCTGAAAATCTAGAAAGAGATGGTGATATTGCTCCCCAGGAGCCATCACAGACCAAATCAGATCAGCACATAGCCTTTCAAGCAGGAGGCACATCAGAACTGCATTGAATTAAATACTGCTTGGTGAACAGAAGTGCCTTTAGAAACACCAGCAACACTTTCCCTTTCTGTAGGAAAACACTCCATAGGAATGCTTGATACTGGCATTTTAAGTACACTAAGGTTTGACACGAGAAAACCACCAAACATCACTGAGTAAGAAAGTTTGATTTTTAAAAAAGCATTCAAAGAAATACACATTGCAGTAGACTATATTCAGCTTGTAAGACACAATAAGGAATGGCTTGAAATAGCTAGCTAAATACCTCCAACTTACCCCTAAAGATTTATTTGAAGGCCAAACCAGACATTACCTAAGAGTAGCTGAGCCTCAGATAATGACGTAGCAATGCTTTCCTAGTATGGGCTTCAGGGACAGGGAAAGAAACAATAATGGAGATCCCATACTCCTGATTCTGGATGTTCAGAATACGGAGCTTCAGGAAAGCATCCCAGAAGCACTGAACTACACAACACAATCCACAACCCAACTAATTTTCTTTCAAGACTTTAAACAAATAATCTATTAGGAAAAGCCTTTTCCTTAAACCTGCACTACAATATCCCTACAGAAGCATGCAAAGGAATAATTAGCCAGCATATTGGGGAAAACCATGGAATTTTTAGTGATCTGATAAAATAATTATCTCCTAATAGGTAAACTAAGCAAGTTTGCCAAACTGGGAGGAGCTGCTGACTCCTTCAATGGCAGGGAGGCCCTGCAGAGACACCAAGATAAGTTGGAGGGATGGACAATTACTAAATTGAAGTTTAATAAATTCCAGATTCTGCACCTGGGATGGGGCAACCCTGGGAGGTAAGTACAGACTGGGGAACAAGAGGCTGGAGAGCAGCCCCACAGACAGGCATGTGAGTCCTGGTCAATGGCAAGTTGAATATGAGTCAGCAGCCAGGAGGGCCGACCGTGTCCGGGGGGGCATCAGGGAAAGCATCATCAGTCGGTCGAGGGAGGGGATTGTCCTGCTCCGCTCTGCACTGGGGCAGCCTCACCTTGAATATTGTGACAATTTTGGGCACCACAATGTAAGAAAGATATTGAGCTATTAGAGAGTGTCCAAAGGAGGGCAATGAAGATGGTGAAGGGCCTTTAGAGGAAGCTGTATGAGGAGCAGCTGAGGTCACTTGGTCTGTTCAGCCTGGAGAAGAGGAGACTGCAGGGAGACCTCACTGCAGTCTACAACTTCCTCATGAGGGGAAGAGGAGGGGCAGGCACTGATCTCTTCTCTGTGGTGACCAGTGACAGGACCAGAGGGAATGGCCTGAAGTCATGTCAGGGGAGGTTTAGGCTAGAGATGAGAAAAACATTCTTCCCCCAGAGGGTGGTTGGGCACTGGAACAGGTTCCCCAGGGATTGGTCACAGCACCAAGCCTGACAGAGTTCAAGGAGCGTCTGGACAATGCTTTCAGACACATGGTATGGTTTTTGAGGCTGTCCTAGGCAAGGCCAGGACTTGGACTCAATGATCCTTGTGGGTCCCTTCCAACTCAGCATATTCTTTGACTCTATTTTTCCCTTGAGATATTTATGCACCTCAATTACTTTATGCATTGATTAGTAAAACTCTTTTTGTAATTTTTCATATATCTGAACTTCAAAGAAAAAATGGTTTGCTACTGTTTAAGTAGGACACTATACATGGTATGCAGTATGGTATACTATAAGGGCACACTAATCTGATGACTTCTGAATGGTGATGCAATCAGATTCACTGCTTGACAATTTTTTTTGTATATTTAATGGTGACATTAAAGTGTGGTGATTGTAATGGGGGGGAGTGGTAGGGGAGCTTTTCTTTTAATTTAACAGTTAAGGCTCCTGAACCACTTTTCTAGATTAATCCCACTCAAAGATACCTTCCTGAAATGCGTAGCTGGCAAATTAACACCTGACCTCACAAAAAAGTCTTTTTCTTGCTTAGCTTCAAAGATCTTTCAATACCACCAGGCCAAGAAAGTACATAATGGAATGGACTCATGAAACCTGCTGTACAGATGAAGTTTAAATTTCAGACTCAGCATAAAACATTCATATCAAACACATAAGACCACTTCAGATCCCAGTAATAGCTTAAAAAAAGCTGTTTCAAATTCTATGTGCAAAACTACATGAGTTATTAGTATCAGGATTACCAGAACATAAATTACCATCTGGGAAGAATTCTGCTGAAACAAAAACTTGGCAGGGAGAAGGAGGGGAGGGAGTGGGGTGGGAACAGGAGCTGTCTCCATGGTAATGTTTCATGTACAGTAAGGTACTCTGAATGACTAACTCATCACATGAACAAGATCAAGAATTGCAGAGGCACTGCTCTATCTTGAAATGGTTTACAAAAATCCAAAGTATTTTGGAAATAAACTTAAAAGACCATCCTTAAAGCCTATGACAAAAATAGTACTAAAGCAGTGTTCTTGATTCCTGCTCATTCACCTTCAGAGTAAAAGATCATCTCAAGGACTCTGATTCTTGACTGTAATAGCCCTAAACCAGGCCATAATCAACCAATCCACTGAGATAACACTCCACTGAGACCAAATTCTAGAGTTCCCATGTTTGGATAGGGTGAAGAGTCAGTCGCTAAAGCACAATCACAAAAGCTTTGTATAACTGCAACAGGATTCATAACTGCAGTTATACAGGCCAGTACAAAGTATCAAGACCATCATATTGAGACCATTTGTCTCAATATTTTCCCATTAGCCTAGGTCCCACTGAGAGCCTCACGGACAGGGGAGAGAGAGATGAATGCAAATCTTTACAGAAACTGTGCAAAACTAACCATGTCCCAGTGAATGACAATGGACATATTTCAGTCAACCATGCATGAAACACACAAAATGATCTGAGAAGAAAAAGCAATATGCACGCACTCCAGAAGACAAATTATTAACAGAATACAGAAGACCACCAGATTCTGAGCTCAGTTCAGGGGACCAGGAGAAGAAAAACCACAAAACCAACACTAAGGGCAGGGCTGTGTCACTACATTATCTGTGAGGTTTTTTACCTTCCAAACCAAAAAGGAATAGCTACACAAACAGTGCATATATTTTCATTTACAGATAAATTAGCAAAACCATATGGTGGACGAAGAAGGGCAAAGTAGCAAATTGTGTAGGTGTCACAAAACAAATTCAAGGACAAAAAAAAAAAGTGAAGCACCTTTCTTGTCACATGCTTTGTACAGACTCCATATCCCACTACTGGACTTGCTCTGCTTGTTATTTTTCTGATAAAGTACATGGTGTATCTATACTGGCTCCTTTCTTAAAGATTCAGTATCCCGGCTGACCCTGGTGTTGAAAACTCTCTCTCTCAAACTCAAGGTACTTCCCCAGGGCCTTACAGATAACCAAGTGACTTCCTATATAGAATAAACAAAAACACTGGGATATACTCCAGCCTTGAAACAGGAAAATATATTTTCATCTTCCTCTCTGTTTCTCTCCTCCCAAAGTAAGCTGACAGAACAACCAAAACTGGTTAAAACCTAAGACAAATGTTCTTGCCAATTTTTGAATGTTACAGAGCAACACATAATAAAATCTAATTCAAAAGGTAAAAAACAAGTATTCAGAAACCACAATATGAAACACTGAAAGGCAGAAAAAGCATTGGTTGTAGTAAGGCAGCTTTGACCTTGAGCTACAGCTGTGGCCTGGCAAAGGAACAAGTAAAACATCATTAAGGAAGAAAAGTGTGAGAAAGAGAAAAAAAACAGTTGCAGGTAGAGGAATGTGTTTGGACATGAGAAGAGATGCCGGTGACCTGTCAGGAGACAAGATGGGGCACGTGCATGGAAGCTAGAGACCAATTAGTGATGAGATACAGATGTGTGAACAAGAACACTTAACCAGTGACATATATTATATTAGCGTGTGGACAGAGAAAAAGTAGATAAAAAGAACAAGTTTGTTTATAATAAAATCTTTTGCCATTGCCTGCCAGCCTACAGTCCCAGAACATCATGTAGGCCGCCATCACTAGTAGCAGAACACTAAGGGAAAAAACCTTAGAAAACAACCCAAATAATCAAACATAATGATTACAAACACATGCAAAGAAGACAGATGTGGTAAAACAGATCTTGAAACAAATTTCTTTTCTCTGTCAAAGACATCTCAAGCTGGTAGCTATAATATACTGAAATTACAATCTTTCACACACCCTGATCACTACCAAGGAATTGTCTGAATTTACCAACTGATAGAAGCTACACACTATGCCATATACAGCTTGTACTAACATTTATAAGAATAAAACAACAGTTTAATAGCCAGTTAATTTCTAACTGTATTTTACTACAATTAAAACTTCAGAATGAAGATCATGACAGACATCTTTGGACAACTTTAGTATGTATTCTTCGAAGTATTTAGCAGTCTCATTACTAGGAAGATTGTTAATGTAACTGAACTTAGTAGCATGTTTTATAACATACATAGTCATGATTGATCACAGTTATTCCACAATTTAACTGCAGTCCAACAGAGGTATGATGCTCCAGCACTTCTGGGAAGATCTGACAGGACATTTATAACGGAATACATTCTAAGGGTAAAACTACAAGTACCAAAAATTCATCAGACTTTCTCCCCACAGAGCCTCCTGAGAGGATAAATGAGTTCTACATGATTCAACTAACTAGAAAACTGCCTAGAGGCACCAGCTTTTTATTTCTTTGAAGCTAAATAACATAAAATAAAAAAAAGCAAAAATAAGTAAAATAAACAGTCACTATCTCAAGAACTTACCTTCAGACTTCAACTTCGTGAGAACAAAAATCAGGTAGTTGTTGAAATCTGGATACTGATTGAGTTGTTCTAGTTTCTAAAGAGAGAAACTGTTAAGGAAATTTGAATCTTCAAAAAGAGCATTTATAGCTTTCGGGATACAGAGATTATTAAATGAGTTATGTACTGCAATATCACTTCAACCAGCTGTGACTATAAGGTCACCAGGTACAGAGTATGAACAATCTAAAAACAGTTTCTGTAATGTTCTTGCTGATACAGTAGCTTTCATGGAGAAGTCTTAAAAAATCCAGGGATAGACATAGAAATTAACAGATCCTTAAAAATATTTGTAAAGCCATATCACCAAAACAGGTAGTTGAACATTACTAACAACTCTGAATTCCAATGGATCAAAAAGTATCAGAAATAAGCAGAAAGAACTGAAAGAGCAATACTTAACAGAAACTTAATGAGAAAACACTTATTTGGTCTAGGAAATGAAGACCAGCTCTTAGATCATATTTTCTTAACTTCTTCACTCACTCCACCTTTTTTTTTAATCAAAGAAACAAACAATATCTTGATTTGAAAAATATCTGTAACCTTACCAATTCATAACTTTGTTAACACTGGGTTTTGGCTAACCTATACTCCTCACTTTGTTATATTTGAGATCTAAGCATCCAAATGTGCCAAAACATCATCATAAAGAAAGCACATGACAGAATCAACACACAGAGTTTTTTGGGTTTTATTACAAAAAATTATGGACTTAGAGTACTTTAAATTTGAAAACATTAATCAACACCGTGCTTGGATATGCTACTAAGTAGCATTCTGCAACAGTCCTCACTATTTTTTGTGGAAACAGTCTCTAAGGGCTTTTTTTTTTTTAATTATGGGACATGACCTGTTAAGTTGTATCAGAACATTTTCCCAAACTAATGTATAATAATGGTAAAACTGTGCCACTTCTCTAACCTTTACAAGCCAACATATGAGGACCTCCTGGAAAACACAGGTATCAACACAGCAGGGAGTTTCCAATACCATTTTAAAAGAATTTCAAACATCAGTTAACAGGACTTTGGTTCGGTCAATTTCTACCCCACTTCTAGAGAGACAGCACCACTTTTACTGCACATCCCGAACACAGACTGCTATATTTCAATAAACAAACTGGATGCTATTAAGTTATTTGAAGGAGAGCTTTAAAATGTAGTTTTGCACTGAAGCTACACTAGCAACACTGTTGCTATAAACACTTAGGTATTTCAAATACTAAACAGCACCAGGTTAAGTTTGAGGCATTATGAGAACACTCCATTGGATGCTTCTGTTTCAGATATTTCAAAGGAAGCAACTGTGTTTCAAAAATCTGAAACAAAGCTGAAAGAACAGGAGGATCGAGATGAAATCTACTTTCACCTTTCAGATAAAAAGGGAAACCTTCCTAAGCCTGACTGCATTCGCTACAAAAGTCTAGAAGTGGAGCAAATTTGGATTCAAACACTTACAATAATGTAAATATATACAGATGCACATGTTCTTACCTACTTAAATTAATTCTGTTGCTTTCTGTGAAGCCCTTTAAGCAAATGCTTTATATAAAAAGGGATCAAGATGACAAACTCATATCCCTCATAGAATTTCAGCACTTTTAGATTTTTCCAAGCACTTATATGGCTAGTCCAAGGAGCAGAAGACAGTAATCGAGGCCCGTATTTTTTAATACCTTTTTAAGGTCTATTAGTCTTAATTTAAAATTCTGCTTTCTCAATCCTCGCTTCTTAAAATCTATTCATCACTTTTACAATCAAGAGAGACCTGGGGGCGGGGAGGGAAGGAGTAAAATATCCCAGCAACTCACAACACTACACCAAATGCACTGCAAAGCAGCACAAGAAGCTACAGTGAGTACATCTCCCCCTTTTCGTGAATTTTAACATCTGCAATGAGCAGTATTTCAGGATTGGGCTTCTAGGCAAGCAGAAACATCCTCACCACGTACCAAAATGCGCAGTGTCAGAGACGGCAGGACCATGAGGGCGCGTAGGCAGCAGCTCCGCCAGCTACGGCTTTCGCCTCAAATCCCAGCGCCGGAATCCTTCGGGAACCCCCTGCCCGGCCCCCCCGTGACGCAAGGGTGGCGGGCACCGCGCGCGGGTCACCCCCGACCCCCCGGGGGGACCAGAAGGGCGAGGGCCGCGTTCCCGCCCCGCAGCGCTGGGGGCTGGGCGCTGGCGCAGCGTGGGCAACCCGGGAGAACAGCGGATACCGGCAGAGCCGCGCCAGAGCCCGAGTTTTGAAAAGGGGAGGGGGAAATTTAAAATACTCCCCCAACGGCCAAACCCAACTCGGCCTATGGCTCCGGACTCGCAACAGGTGCCCAGTGACCGCCGGCGGAAGGCGGCCCCGCGGCCCACAAGCCGCCTCGGCGGTTCAAACGCCGCGCCACGGCCGCCCGCTCCGGCGAGGGCTCGGCCCCCGCGCTGCGGCGGCTCCCTGGGCAGGGCAGGGCACAGCAGGCCCGGCCGCCGCAGCGCCGGCCCTGCTGCCGCGCAGGCCGCGCTCCCCCCGCCCGCCCGCGGCCGCCCCCGGCCCCCGCCCGCGCGGCCCCGCAAACCTCGGCCAAGGATACTTGTTGCACGGCTCTCTGCGTGGTGGTGTCCGGGGACTGGGACTCCTTGAGCAGCTGCAGGATCTGCTGGAGACCCTGCTCGTCGGGCTTCCACTCGTACTCCATCTTGGTTGTCTGGAAAACAGCAGACAACAGGCGGCCGCGGTTGGCGGCGCGGCAGGGCCCGGGCGGAGGCGGGCGCAGAGGAAGGAAGGCCGGGCCAGGAAGGGGGCGCGGCGATGCCCGGGCCGCTTCGGCTCTCACCCTCCAAGCGCCCCAACAGCCGCCAGCCAGCTGCCCGCAGGACACCGACCTGCTCCCCCTGTCTCCACGCCGAGCAGTGACTGAGTCACAGCGAATTTGTGATCCGGCCCGAAGAGCCGCCTCGCGTCCTGCTGGGTCCTAGCGCCGGGCACGCCTCCGCCCGCCCGGGCCGCCCCGGGGCCGCCGGCACCACCGTCCGCCTTTCCCCGGTGCGTCCCACACTGCCAGGAGCCTGCGGGCGACAGAACGCGAGCCCCTCAATCCTGGCCGGTGGGAAACGGGGCGCCCACGCCGCCCACCCGAGAACAGACAAAAACCTTCAGCAGACGCGACAGGCGGGGGGCGAAGCGGCGCCCCGGGCCCGGCCTAGTCTAGCCTGGCCCCTTGGGACAGCGCCCGGCAGCGAGCGCGGAGGGTCCCGCCCACCCTCGGAGGAGAAGCGCTGGCGCGAAGGCAGACCCAGGAGTCAGTAACGTGGTACCTGCGTTGCCGCCTGATGCACTTCTACGTCATTTGGTTGAGTGCTGAGCAGATCTCAGAAGTTCCCAATTTCACTTGTAAGGAGGGAAGAGGTCCAACTACGCGAGGGGGGGGTTGGGGCTAGGGTGTGCAAACTCAAAAGAAACTACATCTTATCCTTAGCCCTAAAATAATCAGGGGAGATCTCTGGTCAAAATTAGCAATTTAGATATATATATAGATATATATATATACACATACACACACACATATGTATATATGTATATATGTAATATGTATGCATCACATACATTGTATGTATATAGCTATTTTTATGTATCATATACTAATAGGAAAACTAAGAACACATGCTGCTTAAAACTGGTCTAAAACGTGCAAGTGAAAACCAGTAATTCCTTGGCTTTTTACAATCTTACTTTTAGTCACTGTATTTGTAAGCATCCTACTTGACATGAAAACTAGTTTCTGCTGCTTCTGCTGCTGTACAGAACTCAGGTGAACACTGCGCATCCCAGTCTTAATAACTGTCCAGAGGCATTACAGTCAGGGAACAATAGTGATTCCTAAGGGTGCATCACAGATAATTTGAAAAGTGGCTCTTTGTCTCATCTCCCCAACACTGACAGTCACCTGGCCAGTCTAAGGTGCTAAGAAGTGTCCTGAGCCAACTTTCCTTCTATTACTATGAGATGCTATTCTTGAAGAAGGAGACAAAACCAGACTCCAACAAAACAGCAAAAGCAACCATCACAGGCAACAAGACAGTAGTGTATATATACGTATGTATATGTATGTATGTGTGGGGCCTCTGGTGGTCTAGTGGTTAGAGTGCCTGACTCTCACCTCTGCGACCCGGGTTCGAATCCCAGCCCCCTGGGCAGGTGGAGCTCGTCAGCTGTGGAAGGCAATCCACCTAAGAGAAGGTCACTCTAAACAAACCTACATCCTGGGGACCTCGCTGCCACTGTCCAAGCTTTGCTCGGCCCCAGCAGATGAACCTCAGGACTAAAGGGTGGGCTCAGTTCAGCGCACGCTGTGTCTCACCTAAAAATCCACTGCGCAGGCTGGAAGGGTTAATGACCTTTCCCAAAATCTTCGCTCGCGAAGACTGGCCATTACATTACATGTATGTATGTACATGTACTTATACGGTGAAAGAGGGTATTTGATGAATGAGGAAAGTACGCACACTGGAAAAAGAAGTAAAGTATACAGAGAAGTATGCTGCACAGTATACAAGATAAAACCAATGGAGAGAACAAAAACAGCTTATGAAAAAAAAAAAAACAAGAAATAGGCTACGTTTCTTAACCTCTTCTATGTAAGCAACTGCTGTAGTTACCACAGGATTTTTTCAGAGACAAACTACAAAAGCAGCACAGCTCTCAAGAGTTTACAGTACTTAAACAAGATGGAATCAGCAAGGTAGCTACATAAAGGCATGCCACCAGTTACCAGGAAAGAATGGGCACAAGATTTATATGAGATTTTTGTGACCACGGTAAATCTCCACTAGTTTTCCTCTAGCATAGGAACATGTCAAAACAAAGGATGTGGACACATACCATTAACATTGATGTTCATGGCTCACACCATATGGGTAGGAGACATCTTCATAGGGATGCTTGCATAGCGGGATCAGATGAAAGCTGAAGTCCAACAAATCAAGGCAGAGATAATTTAGGCCTCATTCCCCTAACTGCTGCCTTACCAGGAAGGTTGTTGAAACTTGCTTTTATTTGAGACTGTCAAGTTTGTTTGAACTTGGTTAGAGCTTCAGAAGTTACTACTCAGAAATTGGCGCAAGGACTACATTTGTCTAATATTATCAGGAAACCAGTTGTGTTAAACAAAAACAACATTAAATACGAGAAACAGGGGAAGAGACCAGAAAGGAAAACTGAGAGACAGAACAGGAAAAAGCAGAAAGAGAAGCAGGCCATGGATCCATAACTAAGAAAAATGTACGTTTCCTTTCCAAGAATGTAACCAAAATTAAATCCTACTAACAATTTCCATTTTCTGCAGTGGAAAGGAGAGAAAAAGGACTACAAATTCAAGTATGAATGGGAGCTTCTACAATTAGTAGTTACAATAAGTACTTTAGACTATCATCCTCCAAGATAGGTTCCTCCTCAGGTCACATATAGGTACCATATAAAGAAACCAAAGGAGTACACCTCATCTTGCAGAATACCTTCTTATCTTGATAATTTCTCCTAAGTTATTCTTACCTATTTCTAGCCCTTTAAATTATATAAGGAATCAGGATAAGGTAAAATAATTTGACTGAGACAAGAAAAAAATGCAGATTGAAAGGATTACAGGAAAAAAATGATAAACCCATTTATTTCAGTATGCTTTGCCTCTTTGTTTTCTACTATCTCTTTTCCTCAAACAAGAATCTTGTGTAGAAAAGAATTCAGAATCTATGTTAAACAAAGCACCAGCACAAAAGCTACTGCTTAAAACACAGCTGGGTTTGTCCCACTCAATAAGCAGAATGCACCAGAACTAAATTTGAAACACTTATCTGTATATGTAAGGATGACAAAAGTTCTCTGAAAACAGGAGCCTTGCACAAATGCTGATGCTAATATTTGATTTCTCTATTATCCAGCTTTCAGATGTCATGCACTAGCCAGAATCCAGTTTCAGTCACTCTACCATTTAGAAAAATTTTCCCAGTCTTTAGTTTTACCCTATTGGTAATACTGGATTTCTGATGGTTTTGGGTTTGTTTTTTTTTTTTCTGAGAATTCTAATAGCTACCATCTTGTCATAAAATTCAGGCCCTGATGCATGTAATATTGTTTTTTAATAATGGTAATCAAACATTTGATCCATTGCTAAATCAGGCTTCTGAGTTTCCATGCAGTGGAAAGGGCTTATAGTGTCTCTCTGTACAGAAGGCTCAAATTACTGGGGTATTACTCTGCTCTCCATTGCTGGCAAAATCCTGGCAAGAATACTCTTGAACAGACTAATACCCACTATAGCAGAAGGAATTCTACCTGAAAGCCAATGTGGTTTCAGAGCCAACAGGAGCACCACAGACATGGTATTTTTCTCAGACAACTGCAAGAGAAGTGTAGGGAACAGAACAAAGGTCTCTATGTAACCTTTGCTGACCTCACCAAGGCTTTCAATACAGTGAGCAGAAAAGGTCCATGGCAATTTTTGGAACGTTTAGGTTGTCCCCCCAAGTTCCTTAAAATGATCATCTCACTCCATGAGGATCAGCACGGCCAAGTCAGATATGGCAACGCACTTTCTGAGCCCTTTCTAATAACTAATGGTGTGAAACAAGGCTGCGTTCTTGCTCCTACCCTATTCACAGTCTTTTCCAGCAGGATGCTCCAAAGGGCCACGGCAGACCTCGAGGATCAGGACGGTATCTACATTCGATACCATACTGATGGAAGTCTATTCAACCTAAGGCGTCTGAAGGCCCACACCAAGACCTTAAACCATCTTGTCCGGGAGCTGCTTTATGCTGACGACGCCGCCCTTGTCGCCCACACAGAAGCAGCTCTGCAGCGTTTAACATCCTGCTTTGCAGATGCTGCTGAGCTCTTTGGGCTGGAAGTCAGCTTAAAGAAGACAGAAGTTCTCCATCAACCAGCACCTCGGGAAGTCTTCCTTCATCCTCATATCACCGTTGGCCAATCAGTGCTCAATTCAGTCCAGCAGTTTAATTACCTAGGCAGCCTCATCTCCTCGGATGGTAAGATTGACAGAGAGATAGACAACAGGTTAGCAAAGGCATAGAGTGCTTTTGGAAAGCTTCATAAAAGAGTTTGGCAAAATAAACACCTGAAGAAAAGTACAAAGATCAGTGTTTACAGAGCCATAGTGCTGTCTACTCTCTTATACGGTTCTGAATCATGGGTCATCTACCGCCACCACCTGCGACTCCTAGAACGCTTCCATCAACGCTGCCTCCGCACAATCCTAAACATCCACTGGTCAGATTATGTGACCAATACATCTGTTCTAGAACAAGCAGCAGTCACAAGTACTGAGGCCATGTTAATGCAAACATAGCTGTGTTGGGCAGGGCACGTCTCCAGGATGAAGGACCACCGCCTCCCTAAGATCCTGCTCTATGGTGAACTTGCCACCGGCTGCCGCAAGAGAGGAGCCCCGAAGAGAAGATACAAGGACTCCCTGAAACGACATCTCGGCCTTGGCCATATTGATCAACATAACTGGTCTACTCTGGCCTCCAATCGGGAGGTCTGGAGACACACCATCTATAACGCTGCTGATGCTTTTGAGAAAGCACGCAGGGTCACTCTCGAGGGGAAAAGACAACGCAGAAAGAATCGTGTCTTGCAGAATTTACCACCTAAGGAGTCTTTCCGCTGTGCCTTTTGCAATCAGACATGTCTATGTCATATTGGCCTTTTTAGCCACCAACACACTTGCAACAAATGTGGGTAGAGCCCTTCCCAAATCTTCGTTCACAAAGCCCAGCCATGATGTATAGAAGGCTTGTATGCACAGAGGAAATAATTCCATAGCTTTGTGTGTAAACCCTTTTATGTTGGGTTAAGAGTGATGTAGATTAAGTTAAGCAGAAAAAAAGCTCTCGTAATACAGAATACATGACTTTGTGAAGGAGCTCATGCAGAATAGCTACTGCTATACTATTTTCCAGTGCCTTCCATCTAGAGACATGCACTAAACTTTCACTTAAAAAAACAGTGGTAGTCCTCACATCTAGCATATCAAAGGAGAATCCATTCTAAAAGATTTGGTGCAGTCTTTCTGAGTTCAGCCATAGGATACAAGATTAATATTTATTACAAGAAGATTTATTTGAATAGTCTTAGGAAGAAGAGAGTTTGACCCTGTGAAGCACCAGAGAGGTTACCAAGGAGACTGATAGAAAAACATCTTGAAAGGCTTTTTGTCCATGACTGCAACATCTACGAAATTAGTTTTCTACTTTTCCAGAGCTATAGTTATTTCATTTCCACAGCTAGAGACACCAAGTGGAAAAATAGCATGTTGCTAATGATTTGCCCCATTGTAATCACACATGCTGGATACTAAAGTGGCAGTACATGCTCCTAATGCTGGGAGCCATAAAACAATCTAAAACTGAATGGAGGGCTGTTTGAGAAAACCATCACCTCCTGAATTTGTGACAGAAAAC